TCTCCCTCGAACTTGCCGCTGTTCTCCCACGCGCTTGCCTTAGGGTTCGCCAACATGCGTTCCGATAGACGCACGCCATGCTCTAAAAATTGTCCTAATATTACGTAATAGATCCACTTTTAAGTTTTAAATCTGATTGTATTTGAATTTAACTAGCAGTGATAAATTAGTAAACGAAATATTCAATGCCACCTAATTAAATGGGTAGCTTTAGGGTTGTACTGAACGATGTTTCGAGATGTAACATACGCATATAGCTCGCTGATTTCCCTGTAATACTACATACTGAATGCATGAAAGCTCGCAGTGTATCGGCCTCGTAAAATTGGTCAGTCCAACCTGATGTCGACCCTTGTTGGTTCTAACAAATCTCAGCAATAAATCTGTTTTATCGATTAGAATATAACTTCATGAATATGCGATATATCTAGATAGATACCGATAGACATAGATACCGCTAACACCGGAAGTGATAAAATTATTTCGTTACTAGCTTTCGCCCGCGACTCTGTCCGCGTGGTTTATAAGAAACAAAAGTGAGTAGCCTATGTGTTCTTCCAGTCTATCCTCTACATCTGTACCAAATTTCATCGAAATCCCTTCAGCTGTTTAAGCTACAAACTCTAACAAACATCCATCCATCCATCTAAACTTTCCCATTTATAATATTAGTATGTTAATATTAATCTGTATAAATTAAAATGTATGTTTGTTCGGTTGTTTCTCTGAACTAATTGAACGTTAAATCTTCGAGCGCAGTTTTCTTTTACTTTACGTACTGCTATAATATTGGGATATACTATTTTTTTTATACGAATCAATAATCTAGTATTTAATCTTTCATATAAAACATTCGATTTTAAAGTGGATTCTAATCACGGATACCTACTAAACGAGTACCTACTACAAGTAGTAAAGAGTAGAAGTTAACGTTAAAAAGGAAAAGGTACAAAAATGGTATACTTTACTAAAACAACAATTAAAAAAATAATTTAAACACATTCAATGCCAAGAGAATTTAGTAGCGACAACTAAATTTGATTCTATTGCGTTTATTGACCGACTTCCCAAAAGAAGGAAGTATTCAAGTCGACGATATGTTTTTTTTTTAATTTTTTTTTATGTGTGTTACGGCATAACTCCGCCGCTAGTGGACCGATTTGGATAATTATTTTTTTATCCGAAAGGTAATGCTTGCAGGTGGGTCCCATTTTTTTGTTTAATTTTTGGAGTCTAAGACTACGACGTAGTTAAATAGTTTAGCTCAAAATCGCGCGACGAAATTTCGGGTCATTTTTGGTTTCTTTGCTTATTTTAATAATGTTTACTATACCTGTGCGAGATTTCTCCAAGAAACTCCTGAAGGATTCTATCTGCTGTCTTGTTTTTGTCAACGGTGGGCCGCCGACAACAAACCCTACCAACAAAAAGAACAAACTGGTCTTCAACATTTTGTCGTTTTATTTCCAACGCGTTCTCATATTGTATTTATACACAATATTTAATATATCATTTTGATTAATATCTGAGATAAAGAATTAGTTAGAAGTAAAGATAATTTAGTTGTAATGTAAATGTTTAATATGGAAATTCTTCCTTCCGTCTGGTTAATTATAAAAATTATTGATTTTAACGCGACTCCGTCCCCGCGGAATTAAGAAAAAAAAAACAAAAGTGAGTAGCCTATGTGCTATTCCAGATTATTCTATACATCTATACCAAATTTCATGGAAATCCGTTCAGCTGTTTAGGCTACCAATTATAATCCATCCATCTAAACTTTCGCATTAACACCTTATCTGTAAAATATAGAAATTAGTCCTGTTTGTTTTACTGCACCTGTAAATAATATAAAGAATTAATTAGTTAGTGTCATGTACATCGGGCAGTCCCACCCGAAAAGAATGAAAGATGATGAAAGAAAGAAAGATAAAGTATGCAGGATAAAAGTGCGAGAGGAATACTAGCGAGAACTGGAATGAATGAAGTAAAGTTAAAATAGGCTCTGACTACTGTCAGAGGTAGAATAGTTTAAAAAAAAAAACTTTCGCATTTATGATATTAATAAGATGATTAGTAAAAGTGGTGCATATTTTGAATCTACGTGGGTTTTAATTGTGCATAGAAGTTTTTTCATGTCAATTCAGGTTAATTAAAAATATAATTCTGACGCCAAATCCAAATGAAAAAGTAATACTTCGGTTTCCAATTAATTATAGCAATTAAGGATAGCAACATCTAGAAATCTGATATTGTTTGGAGGGCGATAGATTATCGTATTTGAACTTCCGAACAAAGTTAATGAAATAACTTATTTTAAGACGCTAGCGCTCTCTCGTGTCGGAGGCCAAGACCCACTTATTACTTACGAGCTGTTGCCCGCGACTTCGTCCGCGTGGTATTAGAAAACATACGAACTATATAAATTACAAAAAGCTACGTATCCCTCGGGAACCGGACATTTCTCGGGAATGAAGCTTATCCCGTGTGTACTCCAGACTTTGTTTTATATCTGTGCCAAATTTCAATAAGATATGTTGAACCGTTGCAGAATGATCGAGTAAACATTAAAAAACTAAATTAATGAATCCCACGGGAACCGTAACTATTCCCGGGATAAAAAGTAGCCTATGTGTTCTTCCAGACTATGCTCTAAACCAATGCCAAATTTCATGGAGATTCGTTCAGCCGTTTAGGCTACAAACGCTAACAAACATGCATCCATCCATCCATCCATGTAAACTTTCGCATTTATAACATTAGTAAGATTTTAAATTCTATCTCCTATTGATTTAGACGTTAGTTAGTAGATGTCAGTACGTTATTATATGTACGTATTTATATTTTCGTATATTACTTTTGTTCATCCAGTGCGTAATACTTGAATCTTTTATTAGCTTTTACCTTATTTTCTCAACAGGAAACAGAAAGTATGTTGGGATTTTCTTTGAAATAAAACCAATCACATCAGTTTAATTGAAAATTGTATTTATTTCTCGTTCTCTATATATAAAAAAATATTTCCATACCTCTACACAATAGAATATCAGTATAATACTTATAGAATAATAACAAAACTTTAAGATACATATTGGACGTGCAACCATTCTCTCGTTCCTTGTAATTTTTAATATAAAAATTATTCGGACGCTCAAACACTACTGCGCTCAGTTGCTGCGAATACACCAACTTTCTCTTTACAACTACACATCTCTATTGTATGGACAATTTTACTGATTCTAAAAGTACATAGCCAAAAACACATACGGGCGAATTCTTAAACGACATTTTAATGTCTTAAAAGATAAGGCCTTGCTTAAGCTCCAAATTTGATTTAAATTTCGTCTGTCAGCAATGCTTACGGGTCGAGTAATTTTCGTTTCTGAATCCGACCTTTAATGTACTGATTTTACAACTAAAGAAAACATAAATTCATCCCAATTTAATATTTTAATACTAGTGAAGTTTATGTACATAATTGACATAAATTGTCGTTGTCAATAGATGTATGTAGTTGCTAGAAATGCCATTCCAAGAATACAAAAATATCTTACTTACTTATAATATCAGTTCAATAAAGTTATACTATATAGATGCCACTATTATCAACATTTAGATACAAAACTTATCACGTAATTATCGGCAATTTTAACGCTAAAACGTCTGAAACCAAACCATTCGTGGCACATCTTTAAAATTACATTCTTAACTCTACATGAGCTCTGACATTACGAACTAAAAATGTTTACATTGAAGGATTATTCCCAACCGTCACCCCGCTGTCCCCATGTGAGAATAAAAAGTTTCAAATCACCAATAAGGTGAGAGATGGAACCGTTATGAAATAAAATAAGTGGCAACCGTCCCCTCGTTGCAAAAGGTGGGAAGGATGAAGCTTATTCACATCTGTCTCCACGTGGGGACAGAACAGCGTGACGGTTGGGAATAATCCATATTGAAGTACTTGTGCCCTTATATTAAAAATACAATTCTATTTTAATACGAATATACAAAATAGATAAATGTTGGCTTTTATAATCTGTTAATTGAAATGTTTTATCCGAGCGTCACTTATTTACATTTTTTTTTAATAAATCGATTGTCTGGTACCTGCCAGTTTGTCGTTTATTTTAATTATAATAAAACCTGCATATCTGTAACTATTCTAACCTAGGATACATATTAAAATAAAAAAAATATAAATGTTTTTTTATGGCGTCAAGAAAACTTTCATGTCATAATTTTGTTTCGATAGCTATAATTATCTACAGGTCATTAACTTAACTTTACTTAATGTCTTATTAAATTATAAAAATAAAAGTATTGCAACAAATATTGGATTTGCTCATAGCAATAAACTTAAACACAATAGAAGGCAGTGAGCACTGGTTTTGACAGCTGTCATTGCACAGCTTAAAAATGTGCAAAATAAAGCATAAAGACCTCATTTATATATCTTTACGCTTAATATTGCACTAAATAAAAAAATAAATAAAAGAACATGATAAAAAATCATTTAGATTTCAATTTTAAGGTTATGTTAAAGCGCCATAATAATGAAAGAAGGTTATTTGTAAAGCGTTAATCTGGACGAAATATATATCTTGCAATATAGAAATGATAACCTATGAAAAAGTAATAAAATCACAAGATATTTGTATGCAAGAGTGATCTATGTAATTTTAAATTTCCACAGACAAAGTTAAACAGAATTTTATCCAGATTATAAATATCCACGCGTATTAATTTCGAAATATAAAATCAATTTTTAACAAATGCATTAACATTATTAAACTGGCCAAAATAAAAAAGATAAAAAAAAGTAATTAGAATTGCGAAGCTGCATTTATAAAGTTTTTTATAAAAACCTACTTATTCTGAAAGTTTTACCTCCAGAAACTAATTTAATATGGACATAATTATAACCTAACATAATGGCAATGAATACAAATTGGGCTTCGAGTAAATAATATAGCCCTATAATAGAAATAACAACGAAAAATTACGCAATTTTTACATTGTCAAAAACAATGGACAAAATACATATAAAAGCATTAAGTATTTTTGATTGTTCATATCTTAATAAAATATTTAGATAATATACGGAGTATATTTCAAAAAAATTGCATCTCATGCATTGTGCTCTTCGATAACTAAGGAACTGAATTATTTTTCCAAAATATTTACCAGTAAATTTTTTATCGTGAATCAGTTAGTAAATTGGTATTTTCTAAAAATGCAATTGGCAAGATTTAATTTCTTTAAAAACTGTTACATAAAAGATATTTTTAGTATAGAAATCTATTTAAAAACATTTGTATTGAAAAAAGTTCAGTATTCAGTTCGGATATTTTTATAAATTCCCTTGACTTTTTAAATTTCTTGTGCCAAATGGCTTCAGAGTATGTCCCACTTCTGTCTGATAAAGGCTCAGATAGCTTAGAAATGATGTCACTGTCAGATAAGAGAACAAAATCCGATATTTCCGACATATTTTACATATGGATTGTTATCAGACAATTTGTACGAACTGACACCAATTTCTAGCTCTGTTTATATTGTTTGTCTGACAAACAACTAATTCGAAGGAAAAATACTTCGATGTTAGAGTAATAGCAAAATTAAGTAGTTTCTTAAATATATAATCTGCAATACTAATTATATCTTTCGGTATTCAAGCAATGTTTATATAAAAATAAATGCATAGAAACGGCAGTAGAACATTGGCACCTAATAACAATACTCGTAATGTATGTATGTATGTATGAAGCTTATAAAATGATGAATATGAAGCAGTCTTTACGTTAAGGCCAATACAAGTTATATTTGGAGCTTGTCATAAAAAATTCTTGAGTGTATTAGTTTTTTTTTTTAATTAAAAGCAAGTTGCTCTCTATGCAAAAATCTATACCATTATAATAAAGCGTAAACACACACTTCTTTGTTGCCTAAGATGTCTGCAATTACAGCATATTTTTGAATAATTATTTTTTAATAAAAAGACTTGTGTCACGCTTTAGGCTATATATTTTCACGCTATTAAACTTAGTTGGTAAATAAATTGGATAAAAATCTCAATGTGTGAAAGAGACCAAAAGTTGCTGCCAACATCAAGAAATAAAGATTGTTATAGATTGTCATCATGTCATGTCATTTTGACATTTGCAATTGATAAATTGACACATGTAAACGATAAAATAAAGTTTTTATAAATTACTGCGGTGGAAGCCGCATGGGAACAGCTAGTTAAATCTAAAGTTACTAGTTTTCATTGTCAAAACATTTGAATCTTTAAGGAATAGTTTTCAGTACAAATGTTATGGAGAATGTTCCATACTGATTTTCATCATGAGAGTACGCAATATTTATTTTCTTTATTTTATTTTTGTATAATCTGTAGAGAGCAACTGGTTTTTAAATTGTTAAACTATGGACTTTATACCTATAGTAATAAAGGCTAAAGTCGTTTGTTTACTTTGAGCAATATATTAACTAATTGTAATTCAGTGATCTCCGCGGAGCAGCTCCATGAGTAGATTGAAGCTGGGCCCGTCGCCATCTTTGCTCTTGTTGGCGGGGTTCAGCATTTCCTTGCCCACTTGCATGAAGAACTGAAAAATGTAATAACTAAATTAGTGTATGGAAAATGTAGAATAGTAAGCTTAAATGATAGTATACAAATCGATAATTGCTCGATTGACAAATCTGACCATAGACAAAGTGATTTTTGATTAGCGATATCCACTCACTGCTATAATGGATAGGCTAACTGTGTGTATTTTGTGTTTATTTAAGCTATTTTGGCTGAGAGTTACGGTTGGTCGCGGCGAAGAGATTTAACTGTCATTATTATCACAAGCGAATTGGAACCAAGCAAAAGCTGTTATTTCCAAATAATCACCTATCTATTGATATATATTTATTACGAGGTCGTTAGTAACATCAACAGAATGTGTCAAATACATAGAAAAAAGCCTAACAAGCATAAGATTTGTCGAAGTTATCTTACTAATAAGATAAATGCGAAAGTTAAGATGGATGGATGCTTGTTAGAATTTGTAGCCTTAACGTCTGAACTGATCTGAATTAAATTTAGCATAAATGTAGAGCATAGTCTGGAAGAACACGTAGGCTACTTATTTTACTTATTTTTTTATTTTCACGCGGTCGGATTTGTGGGCGAAAGTTGTATATATTTTTGTCTTTTCCATCAATTATATCGTTACTAGGGCTTCCTTAGATGGAAAGCATCTCAATGGGTATGTATAAACTGGTGATGATGATGGTGAGGTGAAGGAGTACCTGGCAGGTGCGCTGCAGCTCGGGGATGCGCAGCAGCAGCTCGCCGAACTTGGCGGGCGCGTGCGGCGAGTGCGCGGCGGTGTAGGCCTGCAGCGCGCCCAGCGCCTTCTCCTGCGACGCGCGCACCTTCTCCGCCTCGCGCAGCTCCGGCGCGTCTGAACACACAGAGATTTAGTAAGGTAAATCTACCTCCACATATCGTTCTATGCTGATTATGTCAATTGGCAATCAATAGATCACAAATAATTAAAGCCCCTCCAAACTTTGGAGGTCCATTTATAAAGGAACACCCTGTATAAGGCTAGAATTTGTATAACTTATCGTTATTAAACAAACTAAAAAAAAGTCTTTAATAAGACGTTCAGCTAGAGTTTCAAGGTATTTGTAAAAAAACTGTTTTCAGAAAATATTAATTTGATCCTTCGAGCAGGATATAACTTAAGTTAAAGTCCTATAAAGGCTAAGTCTCCGCTATGCTATCGATATCCACTATATGAAGTATATATGTTTATTTTTGAAATAATGACCTGAAGTGAGCAGTACGATGACTTTGAGTGCGACGTACTCGTAGCGGTCGACGCGCAGCCGCCGCAAGTGGTCCGTGAAGCTCAGCATGCGCTCTATGCACGGAGTTAGACCAAACCTGAACAAAATTAAACTGATTAATATAAAACCAGATTTAAAGTACGCTATCATCCATTATAAGCTAAAATGACTCTACGTTAAGGGTCATGCTATAGTTTACCACGCTTGCCGACGACAGTCTGCCTCACACATATCTTTAAATAACTTCCGTCTTTAAACATCGTCGTAAAAACATCGGATAAATTGTACATATGAATATTACTGCGTTAAGTCTGAATCATCATCATCATCATAAGAGCCTTTATCTGCCCGTTGTCGGACATAAGCCCGTTATCTTCCACAATACAGAAGTCTGACTCATTGTAATTTTGGTAATCCAGCAAACATTCAATTAACGCTTTTATGGCCAATTCAACCTAACCATTTGTTAGTGTTTTTGGTTCGATAAATTCTTGAAATGCGTTTCGGAACTACGTAACTTGAGTTTACTTATTTGAAATTTAATTTAACAATAAAGAATGAGTGAGTAATGATAAAATAATTCAGCAAGCCAGTATTAACACGTTTACTGCGTAACAGGCCGATATCGGCCTGATACGGTACTTGGCTGGTGCGGACGAAAAAAACTATGTCCCTCTCGCTAATGCAAAACGATTATCTCAGGTTATACATTACATAAAATGTATACATTATGTTTCCACAAGTTAAAGCAATATAATTTAGTGTTGGTGGGTCTAAAAAGACCT